TTTCCAAGAAGCTGTAGCTATAAAAAGGATTTAAAAAAAATTTTTAGCAGTCACATTTTAAAAAAGAATTATCTATTTAATTTCATTTATTATTATTATTATTATTTAATTTGACCAAAGGGAGACACAGAGAGAGAGGGAAAGCAAGAAAGCAAGCCGCCAGGTTCAGGACACAAACCGTGGTTGGCCATGTGAGAGTCCAGTGCCTTCACCACCTGCCACCTGCCAGCCCAGAAAGGATTTCCATACTACATAATTGAATCCCTGGGACCAGATGCTCCCTAAAGTGCTCCCAGTTTTTTGTTTTGTTTTGGAGAGATTTTTGTTACAGGGAGTGTGCGCTTGCCAGAGAAAGAGAGAGAGACAGAGAGAAAGAAAGCAAGAAAACACCCCCCCGGGGGGATGGCCACACGGCAATCGCTTCTCCTCCATTCTCCTCTCGGGATCTGGGGCATGCACACATACACGCCTGGCATGAGTATAAGCCACCGCGTCCAGGACTCAAACCGCGGTCGACTAGATGGGAGTTCAGTGACATAGCCATTACTCTAACTGCTGGTCCCAAGTGCTCCCAGTTTTGATGAACAAGGTCTGAGCCTCAGTTTCTTTCTTTTTTTTTTTTTCTTTTTTTGGGGGGGGTTTTTTTTTTTTTTTTTTTTTTTTTGCTATAGAGTGCGTGCACTCGCCAGAAAGACAGAGAGAGATAGAGAGACAGAAAGTGAGAAAGCACCCCCCCTTCCCGGGAGGATGGCCATGCTGCAATCCCTTCTCCATTCTCTCAGGATCTTGGGCACACATGCACACAAGCCCAGCGTGAGTTTTAAGCCACCGGGTCCGGGACTTGAACCATGGTCGACTACGTGGGAGTCCAGCAACATAGTCATTACCCTAACTGCTGGGCCCTGAGCCTCGGTTTCTTCATCTGTGAAATAGGGGGGGGAAAGTCCACCCCATAGGTCGCTATGAAAATTCACTAAACCACTTAATATGGTATAATCACTAAAATGAATGTTAGCTTTTGTCTCTGCTAATGAGAAAATTATTGACACCAAGACAGCAACTGTCAACTGTGACTATTTCAAATGCCTTTCCTCCAAAGGATCAGGAATACGCATGTGTGGAGGGTGTAGATGGGTAGGTGGAAAGAAAAGAGAATACCAGAGTAATGCCTTAGGCTGAAGTGACATTGAAATGATCCTGCTACCACTACCTGTGGAGTCAGCTTCTCCAAGTAGGTGCCAGTCCATCTGTAGAAAGCAGGTCTTGGTCTCAGATCTACTGACCAAATTCTCCAAAAACAGCCACTGTGGAAATCCCTAGAGCCAGATGATTGCCTGAGGTGGGTGTGCCAAAGAAGCAACTTTGGCTGGGCCAGTGCCCACACCCACAGCATCAGAGCCTGAGCCTCCCTTGGGAACTGCCTCACATTCAGTTCCTTCCTCCAAGCCTCCATTCGGCTACCAAGGTGCAGCTGTCTCTAGCTGCTCCCCTCACAGCAGCTGAGCTAAAGGCAGCTGAGCAGGAGAGGGTGAAAGGACACGGCCATTTCTGCCTCTCAGGTCAGCCTTTCTCTGGCTGAGCAGCTGTCAGGTGGCTTCTGGATTACAGATCTGCTTCCTAACTAAGTCTGCACCTTAACTGCTGACACTGAGCTCCCTAATTTCCTCTTAGTTGAAAATTCCACCATTGTGAACACTAGCAAAGTACTATGACAGAAAGATGTGACATTTGAGATAGTTTCCAGTCGGGGAACCAAACAGCTTCTGAAAATACACCAGAGTTCAAATAGCATGTGGGAGATTCTTCCCTCTGTGGGATCATTCTGAGCAAAACAAACAGCTAAGAGAGCCTGGCCTCAAATCTGCCTTCAGACCCAAGAGGTCTGCCTTCGCATTTTCCTGCCCCATGTTACCGGCCGAGAGAATAACCTGCCCAAGTCTCACAGTGAAGTGGAGACACTGCCCCCCGGCCCTGTGCATCCAGGGGCTCTTTCTGTAGCAAACTACACCACAGCTCGTCCTATGTGACCAATTGTCCCAGTATGCCCAGGACTGAGGAGGTTCTCGGGACATGGACTTGCAGTGCTAAAACTGGAAGAGTCCTAGGCAAAGCCTGACTAGTTGATCAACCTGGCCTGCCTCCAGAATAACAAGTCTTGTCCAGAGGTCACCAGGCTTTCATTGCATTCTGGAATTGGCTGCCTTGGTATCTGCAACCGAGGTACCATCTGACAGGATGAGGTGCCTGCTTCCTGAGAAGCTATGTCGTGAGCCCTGGGCTGCCATGAAAAGCCTCCCGAGGAGCCCTGCCCCATTTTCAGCAGCTCTGTTCCATTCCTTCAACAATTCCCTCTCCTCTAAACTACAAACCTCCAGACAGAGCAAGAGAAAATGAGGGGAGTGGGAAAGACAGTTTCTAGGCTTCCTTTCTGAAAGCCCGTGTTCTAGGATTCTGTTAACATCCCCAATAAATACAGAACCCCTTCCGCCCCCACCCCACCACCGTGCCTATTCCTCAGAGGCTTTGTTTCCTTTGTAAAGGAAATCTGCCTGAACAAAACTTCCCAGTGGTTCAGGAACCAACAGAAGGGACTGGCTTGTCTCTCAGGGGTCAAATGACATGTCACCATGAAGACACTAAGCTACCTTAGGTAGCTCTGAGATGGCCTCCTCTGGCTCCTGACCTGTTTTCCAGAGATGATTTCTTGCATAATTGATAGATACAGCAGAGAGTGAACCACCTTGTTTCCTGACAGCCTGAGAGTCACATCCCAGGGCAAGTAGGTCAGGTGCCTTGAGGACACAGTATCTTGGGGCTAAGGCAGCCCCTCCCATCAAGAGTTGCTTTATTCCCAGGAACTCCCCAGGGCTGTGTGAGAAGGCAGCCCCCATTGACCCCATTGGGTACCCTCAGGACCTCCCTGTTGAACTTCTGCTAATTCTCTCTCTCTCTCTCTCTCTCACACACACACACACACCATTAGGAATGGTTCCCTCAAAAAGCACAACCTCCTCTGGGGATACTCCAGCCCCTAAGGTCCCATCCAAGGAAGAGAGCATCTGTCCACCACACTTCTAAGACAAAAGGGCTTCAAGGGGCAATATGGGAGGGGACAGACACTCCGAGAGAGAGAGAGAAAGAGAGAGAGAGAGAGAATGAAATCAGGCACTATCCCCAGCTCTGAACCCAAAGGGACTTCTGAAGCTCAACAACAAACATGCCGCCTTCCATGAGGCAGGCGCCATGGCTGGGCCACTAGAGAATTCCTTCTGGGAATGGAATCTGGAACAGACTATGGACAACCATTCCCAGAGCAGAGGAACCAGAGGCCTTGGACACCAGCACCAGTCTCCATCCTAGGACTGCCCAAGGGCCATGCAGCCTTGCTCTCTCCTGCTTGCAGAGATGGTAGCTGGGGCCCCTCCATCTACCCTACCTCCAGAGAGCCAAAGACCAGCCCAGCTGCTGGGAGCTTCTCTTCCCAGCTTCTGGAGATCAGCTCTGCTGCTGAACAGGGCTAGAGAGCTGTAATTATCGAGACAGGATAAGAACTATTTTGGGAAGGAGCAGTCCTGCTGCCAAGGCTTTTGACTTCCTAAACTGAAACAAGATGCACAGAAAAGGGGGTGGGGGGAGACAACTCAGAGGAACCTACTCAGTCAAAAACATCAAATCTTAAACACCAGGAAATATTAACTCCTTCCCCAGGGTACAGATTTGTATCTAAGGATGAGCAAGAGGCAGCTCTTCAAATACCTCCTCTTGGCTTTGGGAAGCAGAGGGTACCCTGACCCAATGCCCACTTCCTGTTTTTTTTTCTGATTTCCTGTTTCCTGAGACCTTCTGCCAGCACGTATTCAGTCTGTTCAATTTATTTTGACATTTGGGCACAGATTATTTTATACTGTTGTTTAAGTGTTTCCTGTCCAAATCTTATCTCCCCAACCAGATGGTAAGTTTCTCAAGGCCTAAGAACATGTGTACTCTGAAACATCAGTGCTGGCCCCAGGAGTGCCTAGCAAAGTGCTGGGCACCCAAATAAAACTGTCTGTGGAAGGAAGGAAGGAAGGAAGGAAGGAAGGAAGGAAGGAAGGAAGGAAGGAAAGAAGGAGAGGAGAGGGGAGGAGGGAGGGAGGGAAGGAGAGAGGAAGAGAAAATGGGAGGGAGGGAAGGATTTACTGTCTTGCGTGGAGATAATCTCTAAAAGTAGCTGCTCCCACCCACAGTTGAGCTCAGGGCATAGGGCTGAATAAAAACCCAGGGTGGAGGGGGTGGCAGTGCATTTTTGGACACCACCCCTTCAGCTGTTCCGTTAGCTGAATTCAGTCTAGTCCCCGCTCATTTTTTTCCATCTGTGGTCAGCCCATAGATGGGACCCGTTAAAGGCCATTGCTAGGTAAGAGAAAAATGGAAATAAGAGGAGCTTTGACCATCTTATCAAACATGGGCCAAGAAGAGTCAGAGTACTTGTGGGACCAATGCACTGTGAAATCAGGACACTCTGCCAAATTTAGGACACAGGGATGCCGAGAGCAGAGTCGGCCGTCTGTCTTTGCAAGTTTAGGACCCAAATAGTGTGTAACCCAGAAAAGCGATCCCTTTCTGGAGTTCCCCGGGCTGGAGAGGAGAGTCAGATGGGAACTGATCCAATCCATGGCTACCCAGTCTTCCCACAGATAACTTGGCAAGATTCACCATCTGTCAAAAGGTCTCTATTCTCTCTCCCAAGGCTGCAACTAGCTCATGTAGCATTCTAGCACAAATCCTCCCTGGGGAGATGCAGCCCCACAGGTGCATGACTTGGCAGCACAGGCTAGGTATAACCCCTCCACTTGCTCTCTCTGCTAGGTGTCCTTGCTCAGTCAACCTGCCCAACTTTAAAAAACAACTCTGTCTCCCTCCCTCCATACCCCCTTCTATCAGGAGATAGGAGAGGAACCTGGATAAAGGGTAGGAAATATGCAGGATGACTGGAAGTAACTTCCCAGGGGTGTTCTTACCTCCTCATCTGTCATGACAGAGATGTAGAAGCCCGGCATTCCCAGGGGCAGCAAATGGAATTCAGAGTGTGCCAATAGAAGGAAAAAAAAGAACTTTACTAAAGATGCCCAGTGGACCTGGGTATAACCTGGCCCAAATCCCTTCATATTGCAAGTGGCCTAGATAAAACTAGCATTTACTGAGGGCTCACCATCGCTGAGTACCATGCTAAGAGCTTCCTATGTCATAGATTGGTTAATCTTCACAATAACTCAAGAGGAAGCCATTATTCCCATTAACAAATGGGAAACTGAGGCTTAGAAAGGTAAAATAATTTATTCAAGGTCATAATCAGAAAATAGTGGGCCCGAGACTAAAGCCTAGTAAGGTAACTCCAGACTCCATGCTTTTCTACACCCCTCCTTTATAAAGCTTTTCTTCCTCTGAGAGGTGGGGCTGCACTCTCTGCTTTTCGCTATCCATCACTCAGAGGGCTCCTGCAGGTTGGGATTGAACTGCATTCCCAGGCTCCCTCCTTCCCAGGAACTTCATCATCCAGAGCCCTAGACTCCAAAACGCACACAGGACTGGATCCTATTTTGGGCCACAATACTCATAGCAAAAACTCCCTACTGCCAAGATTCCCTCTGTGAGAGCTGTTCCCCACCCTCCTCCACCACCAAAGAGGCAGAGGATCATGAGGCTCTGGAGATCCTTCTTTATAAGATTCTGGAGTTGGCTGCAATACCCACTGCTGGCCTCAAGGGGGAGGCCCAGACATCCCTGGAGATCCTGCCAGAGCAGCAGCCAAGAAATACCTATCAGGTCAGAGGATGGAGACTTGAAGTTTTGAAAGAACCAGAGAGACATAAGATGAGCCCCAACCTGAGCTAGTGTGGGGTCAGCCCTGAGCATAACTGTGAATCAGGCAGTTTGCTTGTGGCGCTTTTTCTTTTCTTTTCTTTCTTTTTTTTTTTTTTTTTGAATCATGTGATGGGTAAAACCAGCTAACCTGAAAGGGCTTCTCCATTCCAGAGGTGCCTTCCCATTGAAAAGAGACTCCCCAAAATGAAAACATTCAAGTCCCAAAGGAATGACTCTAATGGTGAAATGTTAAGTAAGGTGACAAGTTCCTTTGCTCCTCAGGTCAAAACCCCAGCATGTACTCTCTTTGAAAAAAAAAATACCTAGCGCTTTCCGGCAGTGACGGCCTCCCCACGAGAACATGCCTCTCGCAGAGGACCTCCTTCATCCCTCTCCCGGAGAGGATAAGAGGAAACACAAGCAGAAGTGCCTGGTGCAGAGCCCAAATTCCTACTTCATGGACGTGAAGTGCACAGGATGCTATACAATCGCCACAGTCTTTAGCCAGGCATAAAGGGTAGTTTTGTGCGTTGGCTGCTCCACTGTCCTCTGCCAGCCTACGGGAGGAAAAGCGAGGCTGACAGAAGGATGTTCCTTCAGGAGGAAGCAGCACTAAAAGCATCCTGACTCAAGATGAGTGGGAAACCATCCCAACAAACACATTTTGGATATGTCCTGTTCATTGTCTTGTTTAACTGCTAAGAAGTTCCTGCCTCAAGTATTCAGGGGCAACCAAGAGTGGAACACTTAGAGTCATTTGGGGAAAGTAAGTTGGCCAAGTACTTTAAAGTCCATTGGGGACATTTGTATCCATCTAAGCTCGTTGGTTCTTGATGAAAAAACAAAGATACTAAATAAATAAGATTTTTTTTTCGGAGAGGTTTTTGCTATAGGGCGTGTGCGCTCGCCAGACAGACAGAGACAGACAGAGACAGAAAGCAGGAAATCACCCCCCAGGGGGGATGGCCATGCCGCAATCCCTTCTCCTCCATTCTCCTCTTGGGATCTTGGGCACGCATGCACACGCGCCCGGCGTGAGTTTAAGCCACCGGGTCTGGGACTCGAACCACAGTCGACTACGTGGGAGTCCAGCAACATAGCCATTACGCTAACTGCTGGTCCCAAATAAATAAGATTTTTACTTACAAAAAAAAATAAAACAACCTAGCTTAGTAGGTACCTAGAAGCCTCCATCTCACTTGGCTTCCCTCCCCCTCCCCAGACCTCTATAATGGGCCCGCAGGAAGAAAAAGCTTTTTTTTGAATCATGTGATGGGTAAAACCAGCTAACCTGAAAGGGCTTCTCCATTCCAGAGGTGCCTTCCCATTGAAAAGAGACTCCCCAAAATGAAAACATTCAAGTCCCAAAGGAATGACTCTAATGGTGAAATGTTAAGTAAGGTGACAAGTTCCTTTGCTCCTCAGGTCAAAACCCCAGCATGTACTCTCTTTGAAAAAAAAAATACCTAGCGCTTTCCGGCAGTGACGGCCTCCCCACGAGAACATGCCTCTCGCAGAGGACCTCCTTCATCCCTCTCCCGGAGAGGATAAGAGGAAACACAAGCAGAAGTGCCTGGTGCAGAGCCCAAATTCCTACTTCATGGACGTGAAGTGCACAGGATGCTATACAATCGCCACAGTCTTTAGCCAGGCATAAAGGGTAGTTTTGTGCGTTGGCTGCTCCACTGTCCTCTGCCAGCCTACGGGAGGAAAAGCGAGGCTGACAGAAGGATGTTCCTTCAGGAGGAAGCAGCACTAAAAGCATCCTGACTCAAGATGAGTGGGAAACCATCCCAACAAACACATTTTGGATATGTCCTGTTCATTGTCTTGTTTAACTGCTAAGAAGTTCCTGCCTCAAGTATTCAGGGGCAACCAAGAGTGGAACACTTAGAGTCATTTGGGGAAAGTAAGTTGGCCAAGTACTTTAAAGTCCATTGGGGACATTTGTATCCATCTAAGCTCGTTGGTTCTTGATGAAAAAACAAAGATACTAAATAAATAAGATTTTTTTTTCGGAGAGGTTTTTGCTATAGGGCGTGTGCGCTCGCCAGACAGACAGAGACAGACAGAGACAGAAAGCAGGAAATCACCCCCCAGGGGGGATGGCCATGCCGCAATCCCTTCTCCTCCATTCTCCTCTTGGGATCTTGGGCACGCATGCACACGCGCCCGGCGTGAGTTTAAGCCACCGGGTCTGGGACTCGAACCACAGTCGACTACGTGGGAGTCCAGCAACATAGCCATTACGCTAACTGCTGGTCCCAAATAAATAAGATTTTTACTTACAAAAAAAAATAAAACAACCTAGCTTAGTAGGTACCTAGAAGCCTCCATCTCACTTGGCTTCCCTCCCCCTCCCCAGACCTCTATAATGGGCCCGCAGGAAGAAAAAGCACAGACCTTTTAGCCACCAGATGACACGATTTTGCATTTCCTCAGAGACATCTGAAAGTAACAGAGATTGTTGCTCTTTCTCTCTCTGAGATGCATCCTACCTCTCATCACTTACTTCTCCCTTTCTAGCCCCACACTGCTCCATCCAAAGCTGCCCTCAGCCCTTGATCCTCTCCAAGAAGTTCTTCCAACTTACAACTAATAAGAACATTCCCACCTTCTCTCCCCCTTTTTTTGAAACCCTCCTTCTGAGCTAATAATGCTTTTCCTCTTGGAAGTCCATGTTCCAAACCATCTGTGCCCCAACCTTCTCCATTTCATTGCCAGAGTGTTTACCTAAGGCTCCTGTTGTTTACCAGCACTCACCTTAGCTCAGTTCTGCATCTCTATTCTCAGGAAGCAGCTTCCTACCCTGTGAACCACCCTATATCCATTGAAAAGTTAAGCAGCGTTGCCTGGAAGAGTCAATATCTGACACCAGGCCCAAGCAGCATCACCAATGTTAACTTGGAGCTCAGAGAAGCTGGCAGGGAAGGAATGGAACTAGCTTTTGCACTGGCAGGAGGGCAGCCCTAAGAGGCCTGGAATGAAGAAAGAGGCCTTTCCTGCCCACCCCAACATCCCATCTCACAAAATCAGGGCTGCACCTAGGCAGTCTGCTCTTCACATACCCAAGAAGAAAGCACTAAACCTTTGAATGGGTTGTTTGCAGGTGTGCTTGGAGGCCTGCGGCACTTCCCTCAATAGTGCCTGGCTTAGAGACTCCTTTGGTGTTGCCGGTGGTGATGGGCTTGCCTTCTCTCTCTGGAACATCAGATCCTTACAGAAAGGGCTTGAGTCCACTTCAAAAAGGGATGATAAAGGGTCTAGGGGAGGAGGAGACTCAGGCTCGAAATCAGGTGTTGTTGGCCGGCTTTGGGGCATTTCAATTTCAGGATTCAGTAAGGCCCACCAAGAGGAACCAGGCCCATACCTAGGTAAAGACCGAGGGGGTAAGGGCCGAGGGGTCAGTTCCAGTTCTGCATGGATGGAGGGCTTTCGGGAGGGCTCTGGATACCTGCTTGCATGTCCTTGGGGTATGTAGATAGATTCTAAGGGTTTTTGGACTTGTTGTTTATACATGGGCTCCGAAGTAACAAACATGGATTTGTGGGGGCTCTCTGTCACTGTTCGAACTGTTGCACGGGCAGCTGACTGTACTGAATGTCTCCCTGGGGAGATGGTGACCCTGCGGCTGACCTCGCCATCTCCTCGGATTGGAGACCTCACGTTGGACTCCACCTCTGACGATATTAAGATCTTTGGGACAGCCTTGGCTTCGGTATAGGCAGAATGCTTGTGGAGAGACTCAGGTTCTGAACTTGCAGAAACTCGTTGTAAACCCTCCAGATCTCTAAGGACAGAGAGTTTGAAGGATGATTCCAAGTTCACATTCCTCTGTAGAGATTTGTGTTCTGAAGGTATTGAGCTGTGAAGACCTATTTCTGGCTCTTGGCCGGGGATCCTTTTCAGGACTGTTCGATGGTCTGCAGAGATACGGCTGCTGCCATGCTCTGGGCGAGAGGGATTCCTTAGAGACTTGCTCTCACCAATAGTCCTTCGGATGGGCTCAGTTTGTACTGCTTCATCTTTTGGGTGAGTCGAAATCCTACGGGGAACTCTAACCCCCTGAGGGTTCTGGACCTTGGAAGGGGGGTCCTCCTCTTGTAAGATTTGTGATTGTAAGTTATCCTTCTGGTCTACAAAACTTAACCGGCGAGAGGATTTGGCATCTGGAGTTGATGAGGCATGATGGCTGACATCACGTGCTGGCCTGCTCTCACCACCTCTCCGTGTTACCTCCTCTCTGAATTGACTAGTATTCCGGTAAGCATGCACAGCCGGTGTCTGAGTTTGCTGGCCCTTTCGGTGAGGAGAGGAATGGCGAGATGCTTCTGTTCTTGATCGGGACTCGGCTCCCCGAGTTGGGAGTGCTGCAGAGAGGCTAGACCCTGGCTGGGGGGAGACAGAGCGAGTGTGGTCTGATGTTGAATGGGGAGTGGTGATATTTGGAGCTTCCGGTCTTCGCTGGGAAGGGCTCAGGGAAACTGCAGCACTTCGCTGGCTTGAGGTAAGAATATACCCATGTCCCCGCTGTGGGTTTGTGCTAGTCACCTCAGCCCCTCTCTGTGCTGAAACTGCTACCTTAGACCCATTTTTTTTGGTCTTGACCACTTGAAAGACTGTGCTCTTCTGGGTAGATCCCATAATTTACTGGTTGGTTTGTATTCAGGATCCTAAAGAAGCCTGAATATTTATCCTGTTTTAAAAGCTGCTGTTCTTAGGCTCCCACAGAAGTGGCTGTTGTTCTAAGAGTGTCTCAAATTGTCCCCTTCGCTATCTCTCTGGCTGGTGATGTCATAAAGGAGCTTCCAATTAAACATCCTGGTGTACAGTCACAGTTCTTCAGAGAATCCCAGCAGTGTCTGAATGGAAACTGTGGATTCATCTTTGGAGTTGACTCCACCAAGCCTTTGGCCAAGTTCTTAACAAAACCGGAATTTCCTTGTATACAGAAGGCTGCAGACTCTCTTAGATTCTAGAAATTCTCAAGGACTCCTCCAGCAAAGGAATCAGCCAGGAGATCCTATAAAGGAAGGGCTACTCAAACCAATTATGGTATGTCAGCCATTTTACTAAGGTACAAGGTACAAAGTTGCCCTGGTTTTGTTTGAAACTGCACAACATACTAATAAAAAAATAGAGCTTCAGCCTTTTCCAGGTCTCACAGGTAGTCCAGTTTACCCTGGGGTAAAATCAGATGTTGCTTAAATCATAAATTCACACATTCTTGGTTCAGGAGAGTGTAGTATGGTAGAAGAAATTTGGAGTTGGTCATTGATTTCCATCATAAATGACCAGTTATGCATCTTGAACAAGTCACTTGACTTGCCTGTGCCTTGGTTTCTTTATCTGAAAACCACTACCTGGTACATGGATGTCATACCATAAATGTTAGCGTCTGCTGTCTAACAGTCTTCCCGTCAGCTACAGCTACCCTATCAGTGGTACTCTAGCTTTCTCTGATTTTGAAGAGTAACTTTACAATTTGGATGACTATTTTGAATAAGAAAGCCAAGCTGTTAACCATTCTCTCCCTTTCACATGAGTCCCCTCTCTCAAATATAGACCCTACTGTATCCAATATTCTATTGTTGACTCTAAAGGGTTAGCAAAGTTTAAGAATAGCCAGCTTCATTATTTTGTGCTCTACACTGACCATTCTCTTCTGTTAAAAAGTTTTTCTTGGGGACCAGCAGTTAGTGTAATGGCTATGTTGCTGGACTCCCATGTAGTTGACTGTGGTTTGAGTCCCAGACCCAGCAGCTTAAACTCACGCTGGGCATGTGTGCATGTGTGCCCAAGATCCCGAGAGAAGAATGGAGAGTGGATTGTGGCGTGGCCATCCCCCTGGGAGTAATTTCTCGCTTTCTGTCTCTCTCTGTCTTTCTGGCGAGCATACATGCTCTATAGCTAAAACTTCTCAAAAAAAAAAAAAGAGTTTTTCTTGGGGGCTAGCAGGTGGCATGGTGGTTAAGATGTTGGACTCCCACCTAGTGAATCATGGTTTGAGTCCCAGACCTGGAGGCTTGCTTTCTCACTTTCCCTCTCTGTCTCTCTCTGGTGAGCACACGTGCCCTGTGGCAAATTTTTAAAAATAATAATAAAGTTTTATAAATAATTAAAAAATAAAAACATTTTTCTTGGGCTAGCCTTGCAGCCTAGAGGTTAAGAGAGCTGGATACCACATGGCAGAGCATAGTTTGAATCCCAGACCTAGTGGCTTACAAAGCATACTGGGTGCATGTGTGTGTGTACCCAAATCTCAACAGGATGGAGAAATGAAAAAGAGATTGCAATGTGACCATGCCCCATTGGGAATACTTTCTCTCTCCCTTTGTTGTGAGTGCATGTACTCTCAGGCAATAAAAAATGAGATTTTTTTTCTTCAAGTGATTTATAATAAAGTTGGGCCAGCTGGTGGGGTGGCTCTTAAGATGGCTAGATCCCACATGGTCAACTTTGCAGTTCAAACACCGAGACTTGAAAAACATGCCAGGTGCATGTGCATGAGAGTGTGTGTGCCCAAAATTCTGAGAGAAAAATAGAAGAGCCAGCATGGCTATACCCCCAGGGAGTGATTTCTCACTTTCTCCCTCTCTTTCACTCTCCTTGTCTCTCTGTCTCTCTCTGGTGAGCATTTGCACCTTATGGCAAAACTGAAAAAATAAATAAATGAAGTTGATTTGGTTTGTGGCTAAGTAATTATAATGACATTCTAGCTCTGCCTTCCATTTATTTGAGTTTTAAATATTTCTAAATTCTTTCTCTACTCAAAAAGTCTTAAAGAACTATAAAAAGTTGAAATAACTTGAAAAGACTTGACTATTTTTTTAAAGAATTATTTTATTTATTTATTTACTTGTTTTCTTCACATGAGTTCTCCCAGAGAAAAAGAGGGAGAGAGAATGAGAGAAAGCAAGCCACCAGGTCCAGGACTCTAACCACAGTTGGCCATGTGGGAATTTCAAAGCCTTAACCACCATGTCACCCACAGGCCCCAACTTGACTTTTTTTTTTAAAGAATTATTTAACTTTATTTATTTACTTATTTGTTTTAATTTGACCAGAGAGAGTGAGAGAGATAGAGAGAGAGAGAGAGAGAAAGTGAGAAAGCAAGCCACCAGATCTAGGACTCAAACCACAGTTAGCTCTGTGAGAATCCAGCACCCTTAATCACCATGCCACCTGCTGGGCCCCACCAACATGACTATTTTTAATAAGCATCTTTCCAGACCTCTTTCTATTAATTTATGACGTGTAGATATTTATTAATTTACATAGGGTCCTTTTATACCTGCGATACTACTATACTAGTATTATTCCATAATACTAGTATACATCTTTCTGTATCAATTAATCTATTACCTATGATATAATTTCTGATTAATCTACTATGGTTGTTCCATATTTTTGTTGTTGTTGTTGTTTCCTGTTAAGGCATATGTGCTCAGCAGAGAGAGAAAAAGAGAAAGTGAGAAATCACCCCCCAAGAGGGATGGCCATGCTTCAATCTCTTCTTTTCCAATCTCCTCTGAGTATTTTGGTCATGCACGCACATGAGCCTGGTGTGATTTTCAAGTTACTGGATCCATGACTGAAACCAGAGAGTTGGTTTATCATTATTTTTAATTTGACCAGAGACAGATAGAGAGGAAAAGTAATAAAGCAAGCTGCCAGGTCTGGGACTCAAACTCCTAAAATTGTGCCGTCAATTATGTGGGATCCAGTACCTCAACCCCCAAGCCACTCTGGCCCAGTTCCATAATTTTTAAATCTGTCCTTTATTGCTAGACATTTAGGTTGTTTCTAATCTTTCAATATTATCAACAATATTGCAATAAACATCCTTTTAAGTAAATACATCTTTTTATACAGCCCAATTTTCTCTTTAGGGAAATAGTTCTCAATCTTCCTGAACATTAGAATCACTTGGAGAGCTTTTAAACGCTCATGCCAGCTCAGATGAAATAAATGGGATAATCTGGAGGCAAGGCACAAGATGGTTCTAATGTGCAATGAACGCTAAGAAGCACTGGTTTAGTATAAAGTCTTCTAAATCCTCTCCATTCAAATTGTGATCCACAGGCCAAGTAGCAGCAGTACCACCCAGGAACTTATTAGGAATGCAGAAACTTGAGACCCCTACTCAACCAGAATCTATATTTTAACAAAAGCTCCAAGAGATTCATACATATAAAATAAACTTGTGAAGTATTGGTCTCAGTAGAAGTTCTGGATTGGGGCTGGCAGATGATGCAGTACTTAAATCACTGGGCTCTCACATGGTTAACCATAGTTTGAGTTCTTGACCTGACAGCTATAGCTTTCTCACTTTCCTACCCTCTTTCTCTCTGTCTCTATCTGGTCAAATTAAATAATAATAATAATAATAATAAAATTAAAACAATTCATTTAAAAAATTTTAAAAGGTTCTAGATCAAAAACATTCATTTAAAATATTTATGGACAAACATCCTTTCAGATAAGTGGTACCAATTTATACTTCCAACACAGTGAATAAAGATGTCTGTTCTCTGTACTCTACCCAACCATAGATATTACCAATATTCTTCTGCTTTGCAGTCAGTTAGGTGAAAAACAATATCCTGGGGGGGGGGGGGAATT